ATATAACATCTCTTTTTTCTGAAATACCTTTTTCTTCCTGCTCTAATATAGCGAGTCTGGTCTCAAGCTCTATATTCTTTTGCTCTAGTTCCTCAACTCTAGCATCACGTTTTGTATTCTCTTCTATAACCTGCCTTAGCTTTACGTTCTCAGCTTCAACCTCTGCATACTTCTTTTTAATTTCGTTATTCTCAGCTACAAGCTTAGAAACCTGTTCTTCTAATGATTCAATTTTAGATTGTGTGTTTGCCATCTTTTTTATAAAAGGCTGACATATTCAAATTAATAATACGAAAAAAACATTAGTGAGAAAAAGTCACGCGTGACAAATTGACACGCCGATCATTTTTGCCAAGAAAAAAATTTTTTATTAATACATGCGAAAAATAAATACAAATGTTCGGGACCTAACCCGTGATACATGATGTCTATACTATTGTCTGCGGACTAATGTCTGGGTAAACGATTTCACACTCTATCACTTTACCAAAAAAATTCTCGATCACATACAGGTTAATATACATCGATAACAATACAATAAATAAATTCACGAAATACACATGCAAAAGTAAACGTGATTATGTATGCAAAATCAGCCACTGGGGCAGCTTCATTAGTTTATTAGTTTGAAATGACGTCACGTCAATACATAGAAAAAGTTTAGCATTTACTTCTTTGCGTACTGCATGGCACGCATGTCGTAAGAGTGCAGTATTCACTGCCTATACTAACATTTACATCAAGATTAAAAAGATATAAAAATTTTGACAACAACGTAAAAATTTTATTTTCCAATTGTATATGATGAGAAATTTCACGGGTTGCATGGGAAGAGAATAATTATTCCTATTCTTTGGTCCACACCTGACGTTATCATTATTATTAATGATATTCTTTACATGACATAACATTCCACCAACATAGGTCATCTCTTATTTCCGAAATACATTAATCAATTGTTCTCCCTAGTCTTATCCCAGAGGCTTACTAAAGATGTTATGTCTATTGATTTCAAATCTATTAGTAAAAATTTAATGAGAAAAAAGACTGGATTACATAAACGAAAATAAAGATATACTATCCACTTTTACTTTATGTTAAAGGTCAATCAGTTTTAAGTGTGGTGGGTGTACTAGCAGTTGGACGTAGCCAATCTTTATAATTTGCTTGAAGTGGTGTAGTACAGGATCTCTCGCCCAACACATCTACCGCAACATCCTACAAGTTTTAAATTAGAATGTTAGAATGAAGTTTACAAATATCGAGATATTGAAAACACTGACCCGAATACTCATTAAAATTTGGTAAAGGATCATAATTTGCTCTAGATCTCTAGCAGTTTTCGGAATAGTACATGACGCCACTTCAACCAATAGATATATTCCGGAAGAATGTAATTTCATAACGCACACAGTCATTTTAAAGCCATTAATAAATATTATGATTCGTTTCGCCTCATCTGGTTGTATATTTTGCTGATTAATATCATAATCTATGGCATCTTTCGCATGTATAGCACCACGGTAAATGTCCCAGTAAACTTTAGGTTCTTCATTTTGACGTTTTGGGCTGGTTACTTCACCAAATGCAGCTGAACGAGATCCATTTTTATTATTCAGTCTGTAATCTGGTATTCGACCACGACGGCCTCGACGTAATTTAGATGCATTAGATGCCACATCAATCCTAAAAATAACAAGTATTAATTGGTTTGCTTCTAAAAAATTAAATATAAAATATCATACCATGAATGCGTGGTTGTGTAATTAAAATAATGTATTGTTCTATTAAACATCGGTGCTATGTAATCCATCATGTACGTTCCCTCCGTCAATTCATTCGTGTCTGTTGAGGGATCCAACAGCACACATTCTTCCAAAAGTCTAAAAAATGCTCTGTTTAGTAGCCTATCCCTGAATTGGTTCCCGACATATTGCTTTAGAAATCTTTCAATCTCTTCCAGACTATCTTGTTGATAATCCTAATAAACGCAATATGATAATCCATGAAAAATGATTTATTTTAAACACATTATAATATAAAACTTAATTCGCAAACCTTTTTATTTTCTCGCACAAACTCCTTTACTCCATTTGGAATTTCTATCATCTTGAACTCTGAGATTACGCGTGATTGAATATCGGCAATCTCATCTGCTGTTAGGAAGCCATTATATACCTGCTCGTTTTCTTTTTTAAAATAAAAGATTGAAGAAGCAACAAGAATACAGTGTATGTTCCGCTTTGATGGGTACTGAATTCCATGATCTAATTGATTAAGGCTGTGTTGTTGCCATTTCAATAGCTTAACTTCCCAGCCATCTGAAATTTTTTCAGTTTCTGTGACCATCTTTCGGATTGTTGATAATTCCGAAGGCTCAAATAATAACACACACTCTTCCTATAAATAACAAATTCACTATCGGATTCATCTTTCCTTCACATGATCACTGTATATAAAAATATATCTCATACCTCAAATTCTTCGTCATCGGTTTCTGATTCAAAATATGATATTCTCTGAACGGGCACACAAAATAAATTCGTAAATCAAAACAACAAAAGAAATTTAATATCTGATAGTGTTGTTACCTTTTTTGCCCGTCTTTGAGTTTGACCCCCACAATTGTCCTAAAGTGTTAAATTTAAAATTATTCGCTCTGATGATTTCAAACCTCTAGTTAAAAAAATGTGAATAGATACCTCTCCTTGTTCTTCTCTGAGTATATTTGTATTCGCGCCGAAAGTTTTGGTGTTGATTGTCCCTCCATAGATCGTTCCAGTGTTTGAAATTTCCGTATATGTCGGTTGATGAACATGAATTTGCTTTCGTGAGCGCTCTTGTTCCCATTGTCTAGCCGTTATACGATCAGGTCGAGGATCCTGGCATTGAAGATTCAGGAAGTTAATAATACTCTTAGTATGCCCAATTCACTATCCTACTGTATTTTCCATCCCATCTGAATATCAGGCAACCTAATAAGCCACCTGTATCCAGTGGGTCCAGTGTTGGTTAAGCTAGTAGCCTTTTGACATCAAGCAACCTAGTAAGTTCCCTGTGCTCCGACACTGGTCTTGTGGCTCAGCTAATAGCCTTGAATGACTGACAACCTAGTAAGTCTCAGCCATGCCACTTTTTTCACCTGTGTTCCAATAAAAAAAGTCTACTTGCATTTCTGTATCTATCGATAAGCTCCTGTGCTTTTTTCTGCCGGTTACCTTGTTCACGATTAACCATTGTCTCTAGGCATTTTAAATAATAGTCTATCTTGATATCAAATGGCTCCATATCACAATAGTTTAAAAATCCCAGGATGTTCCACTCAGAGTGCCTACGATTGAAATATTCATACGCTTGGTTTTCTGACATTATGAGCTGAAAAAAAAAAGACGTTTGTAAAACAACGATAATAATAGAGTACGGGTATTTATCACAGATTTTCCTGTTGTACTACTTTTGTTTCATGCATAAAGATAAGCCTTGTAAGGTGATACAGATAAATTTATATGTATCAGGAACTATTCTAACCATTTTAAGGGTAGAGTGTACGTAGATCATTTTTCATATGATCTCGATGGTACATTTTTTTTGTGTAACAAATTACAT